TTAACATGTATAAGAATAGAATTGCTGAGTCACATGAAAACCACTGTTTGATTCTCCATTTTATATTCCTACCAGTACTGTATGAGGGCTTGAATTTCTCCCCATCTTCACTGACAATCTGTTAGCGTCTGTCTTTTTTTAATTGTTATTATAGTCATCCTCGTGTGTGTGAGATGGTACCTCACTGTGATTTTAATGTGGCCAACGATGTTATGCAGCCTTTCATATGCTTTTTGGGTACATGTACATCTTTGGAGAAATGTACAAAATTCTTTGCCAACACTTGAAGTGTGTTGTCTTACTGAGTAGTTTTCGTATATTTGAACTACAAGTCTTATACCAGACATATGATTTCCCAATCCTTTATCCTCATCTGTGTTCTTTTCAGTTGACCTTACTTTTAGAATAGTTTTAAGATCATACCAAAACTAAACAGAAAGCAGAGTATTACCACATACCCCCTGCACCTGTACAAGCACATCCTCCCCCAACATCAACATAATATGCCAGAAATGACACATTGGTTACAAGTGATGACCCTACTAAAACTAAAGTATTATAACCCAAGTCCACAGTTTACACTAGTGTTCACTCTTAGTGGTACACAGTCCGAGAGTTTTGACAAATGTGTGACATATATTCACCATTACAGTATCAGAGGTAATAGTATTATTGCCTTAAAAAATCCTCTCCACTCTATTTATCCCTCCCCTCCCTGTCCCAATCACTGGCAGTCAGTGATCTTTTCATCATCTTCATAGTTCTGCCTTTTCCAGAATGCCTTTTAGTTTGAATCACACAATATACACAAAGCCTTTTCAGGTTGGTTTCTTTCACTCAGTAAAATGAACTTAAGGTTCATCCACTCTCTTCACACCTCAATAGCAATCATTAATAGTCCATTGTATGGATATGCCATCATTTATCCATTCACCTACTAAAAGACATCTTAGTTACTTCTAAGTTTTGGCAATTATGGATAAAGCTGCTATAAAAGTCCGTGAGTTATTATGCAGCTATAAATTTCAACTCATTGGGTAAGTAAGAGTAGTTTTGTGTAGTAAGAGTAGTTTTGTTTCTTAAGAAACTGTCCAACTTCCTTCCAAAGTGGCTGCACTATTTTGCATTCTCCCCAACGAAGAGTGCGAGTTCCTATTACTACATCCTTACCTGTATTTGGTGTCATTGTTTTGGATTTTGGCTATCCTAAATCATAGGTGCACTTCTTGACATTTCATTATTATTTTGATTTATGACTCCCTAACCAAACATGATAGGGTCATCTACTCATATGCTTACTTCATGTTTGTTTATATTTTTTGGTCCAGTCTCTTCTCTTCAGGTCTTTTGACCATTTTTAAATAAGGTTGCTTTTTTACTATTGAATTTTAAGTTGTCTTTGTATATTTGGCGTAATAGCCCTTTGTCTAATTTTCTTTAAAATTAAGAAAAAAATTTTTTACAGGCACGTTTCCTGCATGGTTTGTCTCCTCAGTCATTTCCACAGGATTCTGAGAAGTTGTAGAAATATGCAAGCGCAGACTCAAGGCTCAGCTTCTTCTCCAGCCTTGTACATCACTGGTCAGCCCTGTGCTCCCATGCGCCACTTGGACAGAGCATGAGGAGATCCATGTTGGAAAGATTTGTTTTTGACAAACATTCTCCTCCAGTCTTTGGTTTGTCTCTTTTTTTCCGTGATGGTTGTTGTTTTGGCAAACGATCTACCACTGAGCTATATAGTCAGCTGCTTTTCATTCTTTTAACGTGTCTGTCACAGAGAAGATATTTTTAAGTTTGATGAAGTCCAGCTTATCAATCATTTATTTCAGACTGTGCTTTGTTGTTCTTCTTAAAAAGCGATGTGACTTCCAGAGTCACCTAGACTTTCTTTCAGGTTATCTTCAGAGTTTTGTAGTTTTGTGTTTTACATTTCAGTCTATGATTCGCTTGAGTTAATTTTTGTGAAGAGTGCAAGTCTTTATCTAGATTGTTTTACATAGAGATGTCCAGTCATTCCAGCACCATTTGTTGAAAAGACTATTATTTCTTCATTATATTGCTTTTACTCTTCTGTCAGAGATCAGTTGACAGGGCTAGAGGTGTAGCTCAGTTAGGTAGACTACATGCTCAACATGTGGGATGCCCTACATTCTATACCCACACCACAAAATCAACAAAGACGTTTATAGTTTCTGCTCTTAAGACATTTAATTCATTTTGTATTTATTTTTATGTGATATAGGGAGAAGGTCAACTTCACTGTTCTGTACAGGGTATCAGTTGACCCAACATTGCTCACTAAGACAAGTATTCTCTCCCTACTGAATGGCCTAGGCACTTCTGTTGAAAATCAGGTGAGTGGTAGAGCGCCTGCCTAGCAGTGTGAGGCCCTGAGTTCAAGCCCCAGTACTATAAAAAAAAAAAAGGAAAATCAGGTGAGAACAGACATAATTCATTTTATCCCAGTCTATCCTTGAGTTAGTACCACAATCTTGATTATCGTAGCTTTTTAGTAAGGTTAAAATCAGAAAGTATGAGCACTTCGCTTTTGTTTTTTGTGGTGCTGGGTAGACTGAGGGCCTGTAGCATGCTAGGCAAGTACTCTACCATTGAGGTATATCCCTTGCTCAGTTTTTTTTTTTTTTTTTTTTTTTTTGGTGGGAGCAAGGTTTCAACTCAAGGTTTTGTACTTGTAAAGCAGGTACTCTACTGCTGAGCCACACCTCCAGTCCATTTTGCTCTGCTATTTTTTTTGAGAAGGAGTGAACTTTACACACCCTCCAGGCTGGCCTCAAACCATGATCCTCCCAAACTCAGTTTCCCAAGTAGCCAGAATTATAGGTATGAGCCACCCACACCCAGCTAACTTTGTGTTTTGTTTTTTTTTTTTTTTTTAAAAAAAGATTGTTTTGACTGTTCTGTGTCATTCAAATTTCTATTGTCAGTTACCTGCAAATAAGTTAGCTGGGATGCTGATGGGGACTGTGCTAAATCTACTGGCTGCAATTGGTTAGTTTCTATAAATCTTATTGTATATATTTTTCCCCTTCAACCTCTGCTTTCTTATCTTTTTTGATGTGTTCCATGTATATAACTGGTTGTACTTACATAAAATTGAGCTTAAATATCACCTTATTTTTGGGCTACCTGCCCTCTGCCTATATGTCCCTTCTTTCTTTTCTTATTCCATTCTTTTCTTATCTCAGTCCCTCTCTCTTAAGTTCAAGGTATCCTTCAAACTAATATAAAAACTTTAATAACCTTAAACTTTTTCCAGATATATAAGTACTCATAAATGATTCATTTACCCTTCTATCCCAGTATGTGTCAATGTTACATTAAACCCATAAGAAATAATTATTGTTTTAGACATTAAACATTCACTTAAGCTTATTTACATATTATCACTTGTTTTGCTCTGCAGTCCTTTCTGTATCTCTGAAAGCTGCAAACAGTTTTATTCTACATTGGGACTTCCTTTAAAGAGGCCTTGCTGATGGCAATTTCTCACATTTTAACATCTTACTTGAAAGGCATTTTTGCAAGGCATACAATTACAGGTTAACAGTCACTCTTCCTGGGCAATTGCTATCATTCCATTGTTTACGGCTCCATTCATTACTGTTGGAAAGTCAGTTGTCTGACTCCTTTCTCAGAAAGTAATCTGTTTTTCTTTCCCTTCTCTGCTGCTCACCTGTGTACTTCCTTTAGTTCTGAAAGACCCTAATTACTGCTTCTTAAAATACTGATTTTTCTCTGTTCTTTTTCTCCTTTCCTGGAACTCTGACTAAATTATATTTTAGGCCTTCTCTATTATTCTATATTCCAAGTTTGTTGCTTGCTTTTTTATTTCAAAACTAAAAAGCTTTATAACAAAATCCACTTGGTGTTAGATTATGTAAGTGATTTGACACCAAACAATAGCAAAGACTGTTCAGAGTATCATTATGTACTCTCTCTTTATAGTGCTAATTTCTGAATTTCTTGTGAACAGCCTTCACATTCCCTGTGTCTAATCTGCTCTTAATTCTCTCAATTGATTTCTATATTTATTCTTTGAAATTTCTTCTCTGCACATACTTTTATTTCCTTAAACATAGGTATACCATAATTTAAGTTGTACTATCTCAATTATTTTAAGGTATGGCCCTCCTGTTTGTTCTTTTTGCTCATTCTCACATGTGCTATTTTATTTCTTTGTTTGATTAACTATAATTTTGTGTAAATACCTTGTGGTCTAGGATAAAGGTAGATGTCTTCAACATGATCTGCATTTGTTTATGGTGGTTATCTGTAAAACTAATGGGCTACAATCATTTTAAATTCACAACTAGTGGTTACTTCAGTCACAAAGGTAGTGTGAATTTGGGTTCTGTGATTATACTCTAGACTGATTTTTTTTTTTTCTTCCCTATGTTCTCACCACAACCAGAGAAATATTCTTATTCTACTTCAGAGTGGAAGAGGTTACTCTCTCCCTGACAGTTTATTCCTTTTCAGTTCCAATTTAAAGGGGAAAGGACTCCTAACAGAATCCTCAACTTTGGCTGGTCCTGGGCTGTGTCCTTTACCTCTTTTGGGTAGCTTCTGCAAAGCTGAACTCCTCAAACTGTATGTTTCACAATGGTCTTCAAGACAAAACTGTCTTCAGTTTTGCATTTCTCTAACATTAACTTACCGTGCATATCTTTGGAGAGTTTAAGTAGATGTCATCTTGTCTATCAGATGGCCATTTTAGTTGTCTTCAGCAGTAAGGAAACCGAAAGTCTATGTTCATTCTTTAGGCCAGTTCAACATAGCCTCTGGATCCTCCCAAACTCTTTTTTGTGGAGGCCAAAAATGATCACCAAAACTTCCCTATCAATTTGGCATACTTTTCATTCCTATTGGTGTCCAGTTTCTGACACACCTGATTACTCTCTCTCCTCATGGAGCCAGTTTTGGCTTCCATATAGCACACTTTCCTATACAACTCCTAATGATCATTCATCAGGGCTTTTCAATTCTACATTTCCTGTTTACCATAAATTACCAACATCCATCTCCCAGATGGATATCCTCTTAATAGCATAGAATTTCTTCTGGCCACTGTTGTCTCCATACAACCCATTATCTGCCAATGACAACCAGAGTGATATTGTTAAAAAGTTTTGATCATGTCACAGTGCCCGTGTAAAACCCTGTATCTGAACTTTAGATAAATTCTACACTGTTTAACACAGCCCAAAAATTCTAGAATTATCTGACTTACCTACTCTGCATGGTTAATTCTTACACTTCAGATTTTACTGTAACTTAACTCTTATAGGCCTTCCCTTACTACCTAATCCAACACCAGTCTGTTTTTTCTTTTATACCATTTATTATAATTTGTGATTGAGTACTTATTGTGGGTTTATCTAAGTGACTGTTCTAAATTGTCTGCAAGTGAAAGACCTCTATTCGTTATCTTTTCACTCTATATCCAAGAACTAGTACCAGGTACCGAACACAGTGAACACTCAATGTACGTATGTTAAGTGGTTGATTTCTCTTTAAGTAGACCCATAGGAAAAGTACAAGTCTAATCAGCAATTACATGTTTGGCACAGAGTTACAACCAAGGAAAGTGAATTATTAAACAGTGAGGCTATAGATAATGAATCAGGTCAAAATAAGACATATGTACAAATACAGCTATAATGTTTAAAGTTAGATAGCCAGGATTATTTCCTGTCAATAAATATGTATACTGCCCACGGCAGGTTCTCCAAAAAGCCAGTGACTAAAAAAGGAGGCTAAAGAGGCTAAAAGCAGTAACGGAAATTCTAGGAAGAAAGAAATGAGGAGCCAAAAAGGAAACTGTACTTCTTATTGATGATAGGAAGCCCGTAGACAGGTGGTTAGCCACTTGCTGGCCAGCTTTTCTTTCTACAACTGTAACTTTTTCTGATCAAGATCACTTTCCTATTTTGGCATAGGAAAGTGATTAGTCTATCCTTAAAGCAAATATTTAACCTTGAGGGCTTTTCTGAAAACTTTAATGGCAGAAAAAGATCCCTTTTAACCATACGCATATCATTAAAATTTGCATAAAAGAAATGTAAGATGCCCAGGAAAGTACTGTGGCTCTCTCTTGTATTTTACCTTAATAACTAGGATGGAGGCCAGATCTAGGGTGAAATGCAGGGTAGAAACTTGAGATAAGGTTTCAAGTAGCATCTACAGCACCATAGTAATGAATGGACAAGGAGCAACTTTTCCCATAACCATTTCCACTACCCTACAGCATATACCATAGATTAAGATGAGAAAGACAGAAGGGAACTCTCCAAATTCACTAGCTCATACAGCTGGTGTGACAGCCAGGTAAGGAAAGTATTATAAATTAAGCCTATCCATGATAACTTCACTTCTTAATTCCTTCGTATGAGAAAAGGCCTTCTTATTATTTGTACCTGAAAAAAGCAAGGGTTTTAGTCAGTGAATGCTACCTTTTTGGTAATTACAGTATTCATTATACTGCCATTTAAAATTATTTCTCAGACTGTAACTATCAAATATATTTCCAGTGATTTTTCAAATTATACATCATTCATTTATATTATAATAAAGCCTCAGGTTTAAGAAAACATAACCAGTAACATATAACTAAAACAAACTATCAGCAGAAAGATGTCAGCCAGAAACTATTACCTTTATGGCTGTGAATGTGTCTTCATCTTCCATCCATAAATCCTGTTCATAGTAACATAAACCATCGTTGATAACTTTAGCAAGTTCCCATGTAATTTCTGCCTGAGATGTGTGGTTCTCTGTTTGATCTTCTCCAGGATGTTTTCTCACATAAGGTGGTATCTGAGTTATAATCAAAATCTTGTTTAAATCCTGATCATCAATTTCATAGTCTGAATCATTATCAGACCAATCAATAAATGTGTTTTTTTGTCCTATCTGTTCCATTTCTTCATCAAATAAAAAATCAAGTTCTTCTTGTTCTCGCTCTTCTGGAAGATACAGTTGGTTTGATGCTTCTTCAGGTACAGATATTGACCCCTGGAGGAAGAAATTGGTATTTTGTATAAAATGTTTCTATCACTTTTTAAATAGTAGTAAAAGTTTCTAAGCAAAGAAATCTTATCCTAATTTTATTAGGATAAAAGTGGGGAGAAATGGGGGAAAAAAAAAAGGGAGAAATATTTCCTGTCTCCATGCAGGAAATGGGAGTAGAGATGTTTCCATCACTTTTAAAATAAATGTCCCTAGCAAGCACAGTGCCACCAAAAAGTAAGATAAAAGTGAATGCCACATAACTCTGTTAAAAGTAAGTAACAACAGCCGGACACAGTGGCTCATGCCTGTAATCCCAAATACCCAGGAAGCAGAGATTGAGAGGATCAAAGTTCAAAGCCAGTCCAGGTAAAAAGTTAGCAAAATTTCATCTCAACCAATAAGCTGGGCATGGTAGCACATACCTGATCATTCCAGGAGACATAACTAGGAAAGTCGCAGTGCAGGCCAGACAGGGCAAAAATGTGAGACCTATTTGAAAAAATAATGAAAGCAGAAAGGGGATGTGGCTCAAGTGGCCTGAGTTCAAACCCTAGTACTGCCAAAACATAAAAGGCAATTTCACCAGTAAACAAGAAAAACTAAAAACTAAGAAATTCTAACTCTTAGAGAAAAGTGCTCCTTATTTTAGCAATGGTTGGGATCTAAAGCAAGCATGCCTATTCTCTGCCTAGTTCTACAAGTCCAAGTCTGTAGCACCATTTCATTTACCTCACACTCAGCACAATGGCCTGTGGATAAGGAGATTCACACAGCCACAAAAGAAACCCACATCCATTTACTAATGCTAACATGAACCATCAACCAAAACTCACCAGATTGAAGGTACAACCAACATCCTAAAAGAGAAAGACTTCAATAAACAAAATGGACAGAATAGTGAAATATCAAAAGAGGACCCTTTTTCAACCTCCCACCTACACCACAATAGTAAGATGATCAACCGAGGAAAAACAGCAGATGAAAAGGAATACCAGAAAGTGAGAGAGAAATACTAGTTTCCCCCAAATGAAGGTCATGAAAACTCAGATCAATGAATAAAAACAGACCTACACCAAGAAATATCACCCTGAAATTTCAAGACTGGCAATGAAGAAATCATCTCAACATTCTCAGATAGAAAATAAGATCATTTGATACAAAGAATCTGAGTCTAAATTTTACAAATCGAAATCTTAAACCAAGATGACAGGAGAAAAATGCTCTCAGAAAAACAATGTACAACCAAGATTTAACTCATAAGTCTACAGGCAGTTCTGGGGTTTGAACTCAGGGCCTCCAGCTTACTAGGTAGATACTCTCTACTTGAGCCATGTGCCCAGCCCTTCCACCCAAGATTTAGAAAGACCATTTTTTGTTGAGGTGGGGGAGCTGGGGTTGTAGCTCAGCAATAAAGTACATGTTTAGCATGCAAGAGACCCTGGGTCCAATCACTCACACCAAATAAATAAACAAAAAGATTATCATTATTTTTTTTTTTTTGCAGTACTGAGGCTTGAACTCAGGGCTACACCTTAAACCACTCCACCAGCCATCCCCTCCCCCCCTTTTTGTTATGTTGGGTATTTTTGAGACAGGTTTCTCACAAACTGTTTGCCCAGGCTGGCTTCAAACCACAATCCTCCTGATCTCTGCCTCCTGAATAACTAGGACTACAGGCATGAGACACCAGCACCCGGCAAAAAAAAAAGATAATTTTTAAGATGTACATTGACTCTGGGCACCAGTGACTCACACCTATAATCTTAGCTACATGGGAGGCTGAGATCAAGAGGATTGTGTGTTGAGGGCAGCACAGGAAAATAGTTCACAAGACCCCATCTCCAAAAGAAGCAGGGCAAGCCAGGCAGTGGTGGTTCACACTTATAATCTGAGTTACTCAGGAGGCAAAGTCAGGAGGGTCACGGTTCAAAGCCAGCCTGGGCAAATAGTCTTGAGACTCTATCTCAAAAATATCCAACATAAAAACAGTGCTGGTAGAGTTTCTCAAGTAGTATAGCACCTGCCTAGCAAGTGGTAGGCATGAGTTCAAACCCCATTACATCCAAGAAAAGAAAAAAAAAAACACCAAAAAAACAAAAAACAGAGCAAAATGGATTGGAGTTATAGCTTAAGCAGTAGAACACCTGCTTTGCAACCATGAAGCCCTGACTTCAAACCCCAATCCCTGGCCCAGCAAAAAAGTACACTGACATTGATAACATAATAACTAACCCACCTCAATAGGTACCTCTGAAATAGCTGGGCCCCCTGAACTTGTAGCTGTGTTTCTCTGGGCCAGATCCTTCTGTAGCATCAGCATATATTTCAGACCTGTACAGATCTCATTACACTTTTAAAAACACTTTTAAAAAAAACATTTGCCAGTGCTCCTCGGCATAACCCTTCTCCAATACTTACTTATCCTTCCAAAAGCTTTATTTTATAAAATCAAAGATGTTATTAACTTTACGGTGAACTATAATCTCACAGATCACTGAAAAAGAAATGCTGAAATGTGGAGATTTCAAATGTAAAAGGGTAAAAATGTAAATCTCATTAATCAAGTCTTCATCATTGAGATAACTATCCTCCCTAGTTATCCAGGTATACTATGAAAAAATCTTAAGAATTACTCTTAGGATCTTTAGAAATTCTTGTTTTGAGAAAGGTGCTTCAGCCATTTGGAAATGAACAATGGGGGGTGGGGAATCCTCTTGTGGTAACATTTAAATATACTGTTTAATCACCATTACTAAGATGTTTTTGGCTCTGAGATGTAGCTCAGTGGTAGAGCACTTGCCTAGGACACTTAAGGCCTTGGGTTTGACTCCCAACACCATAAAAAACAAAACAAAACAAAAAAAAACAAGCACGAAAGTTATCTTGGATAAAGGTTCTTTGGACCTGATAATTCTTTGCTATGCTGGGTTAGAGAAGTCCTGTGCACTGTGGGATCTCTAGCAGTATGTAGTAGCACTCTCCCAGCTGTGACAACAAGAAGTCTTGTAAAGGTACTCAGGGAGGCAAATTTCAACGCCTCCGTACCTCCAGTGGAGAACCATACAGTTCTCAGAAATAATTATATCTTATGAATCCTTCACCCAGTTTCTCCCAATGTTAACATCTCACAAAACTGCGTAACAATGTCCAGACAAGCTATTTACATTTATATAAACCTATCAACTTTAGAATTCCCTAGTTTTACTTGTACTCCTTAGTGATGTAGTCAAAGTAATTCTGCCATGTTGAGTATGTGAATCTACCACCAGATGAGAACACAAGGCACCTCACCCCAAGGAGCTTTCCTGTTGCCCTTTTAGAACCATATCCATCTGTCTGACTCCCTCACACATACCCAGGACATCAATTCTATTTTCTTTAAATAGCCTAAAGATGATTAAACATTCTACATGCCTTAAGAACCTTATAAATAATTAACAAGGATATAACTTCAAAATGTAGACATTTTCAATTTTATAAAAATTGAAATATTTAAATTTAAATTAGTCATGAAAGAGCCAAATATATTAATCACAAATAAAAGGCTAAATCAAAATATTCTTAAATGTTCAAACATTTAAGATAAATCTTAAAAGTTGAGACAATGTGATTTACTTCCCACAAAGAGTAATGCATAGGTTTTTCACTAAAGACCAACTCTTGTTACAATTTTTAAATTTTTACATATGTATCTGACAAACAGAAAATCCACTAACCTTACACTGCACAGGGTATAGCACACTTCATTTGGTTTACAACTCACCTTTAATCTCACCAGAGATGTATGATGTCTCTTTCTTACTTCTATCCAAGGTTCTGAGTCCAAGTCAGGTAAACTTGTAGATAAACCTCTAGACATTGCTTGAAGATTACTTGTTTCAGAATTTTTCTTTGGGCTCAATGGACTTCCAATTCTTGGAGAATTTGGGGCAGACTCTAAAATTTTAAATTAGTTATACAGTTAAAATGGTTTTCCTTATTAGTGAAATACATTTCATTTTTTCCTTAACATGATAAATCAATCTCAATTAAACCTTCCCAGTGATTTTCTCAAAAGGGAAGCCACTGAGCAATAAAATAATGTAATCCTTACATAGACCACATTCATTCCAATTTCTCAAGAATGTCAGTATGAGTCACTAATTTAATGATGGCAAATCTATTTGACAATCAAGTCAGCGGTGACATCTCATTAAAAGCTATAAATTATAACTACTCTTAAGCCATAGTCTAATTATATTCAGATAAAATGAGTTTCTCATTGTTTGATCCAGACCTAAAGTAGCTATTCTTCCAACTTTCCATTTCCTTTAACAAGGTTACATGCACTAAGTGCAGGATGCCCACTAAGTTGGCTCATAGTGAACACTGCAGAGGGTATGATGTCACCACACTGAAGTGCACAACTCCAGCGATAACTTTTAAAACATTTAAAAACTGTTGTTAGAATTTTAAAGGCCTTTTTTCTCCACACGATCACTCTTACCAGTTTATTTTAATCAAAATAATATACTCTATAAAATACAAGTTTTCTTTATAAATGTTTTTTCAAAAGTTAAAAAATATTTAAGTGTTTTATATTTTCTTCCTCTGCTTATATGAACTTGCTTTGGACAGTGCTTTAAAAATACATACTGCAACATGTCATAACCTCAAATACACACAAAATTTATTTTTTTAAATGTATACCGTGAAATTCTAAACATCATTGACCCCTAAAGTCACTAGAAACATCACAAAGTTGAATGTTACATACAGAAAGCTGAAATAAATTAACACCAACAATCCTTTCATTTGCTAAAGTAAAGGCACATTGCAGGACTGGGTGTGAAAAGTGTTCTGTGATTTTTATTTCCATTGACATGCTAGAATAAGATGGTTTTAATAGCTTTCCCCTAGACACATGGATTCAATAACAGATTAGTATATTACTTTTAAAAGAGGCATTTTATGGTAGGGAAAAAACTGTAACTGTGCTTTCAATACAGTAGGCATGGACTGTTGTAAAGCACTTGCCTAGCATGTGGGAGGCCCTGGATTCAATACCCAGTACAAGACAACAACAAACCAGAAACAGTTCTTGCTATACAGTAAGCTACTGAGCACTTCAAATGCCATCAAGGATATATGTAAAAAGCACACCAAAAAAGACTTGGTACCAAAGTTTTATATTGGGCACATGTTGTAAGTAACGGATATAAGTTAAATTAAAATATCTAATAAAAATGCAATCAAAACAAAATATCTTATCGTTTTAAGGCTACTGAATTTTATGGAATTATGTGTATGGGTCATGTATTTTTATTAGATAGTGCTAGTCTACAAATTTCTTGACTAATGGTATATCTATCACCAATTCATTCATAAAAGTAGAATAAATGAAACACACGGTTTAGGCTGTTTCATACTGATAAAGCTAGAGGAAAGGGAAAATATTATAATCTATGTTCCTATAGTAAGACTTAAGTTTGAAACAATCACTATCCTGCTAATTATGTCTGGAGATGGTTCCTAGTGTAACTATTATGAGCATTAACTAAATTACTATATATAGTTCAAGGATGAGTGACAACAGCAACCAGCATGATAGGAAATCAGTAGCTACTATTTTAACATCCACCTAAGAGTTTATTCTGTAATCATCTCTGAGTGTTCTTTCTGCTTGAATTCTGCTTCTGCCATGAAGTGTTTCATTATATTCAAAACACACATGTGCTAGAAATGGCGTTATATTAAACTACACAGAGTCTGGGTTAGACAAAGATTTTAAGTTGTAGAATGAGACTCTGAGGTTTTTATAGTCTGTTTGTTTTTATCTTTTTTTATAGTCTTATATATATGCCTTAAATGCTTTTTTGTACCCATATTTTCCTTTATAATGAAAATATTTCAAACTATACATCTGTAGTTTTAAGATAGCAAACACATCTTTCAAGACCAAGTTTAAATAAGATTTGAATTATCTAACATTAAACTTATTTATATAGACAAAATTATTTTTAGACACATACTTTCATGCTTAAGTTTTAATTTGTGAAAATGTACAAAATTTATCTTTGGTTTTCCACTGCATGAAAATTGTTGACGTGGCTCTCAGAGATAAATCACCATGTACATTCATACCTGGCATGGCTTTTCTCCCCCTCCTAAGGAAGGCCACAGTTCTGAGCACTTATACACATTTTTTAAAGGATTATATACTTTGTGTGCACCTTCAAGAATACTTCTATATACTGTTTTCAAAGGAAATCCCACTGCTTATTCAAGAATCATTAGATCTCACACATTTTTTTTTAAAGCCCAAAGCAAACAACAGCAGCAACAACAAATCAAGATTGTCAGGTACCTGACTTCTCAATTTTGATGAATGAAATCCTTTATTTAAGATAGTACAATACGATATCCATAGCACAACAAAACCTTCAGTTTGAAAGTAATCTTACCATTCTCATAATCAACCTTTTGTGGTGCATTAAGATCTTCTGCTCAGTGCACATGTCAACCCATGTTACACAATTCAACCTCCAAAGAGGAAAAAATACAAATTTAAATTTCTTTGATAAAGAATATCAATTATGTTAAAGTACTTTACCATACGAACTCCTTAGAAAGTATATATCCAGGCTATGTTTTTAAATTTTAAGGTCTTCTAATTTGAGGTTAAAGCTTCACTACTTTTCTCTACTATGTACATATCAAGACAGTCAGTCTACACTTCCCATCTCTTATTTCTACTTCTGATTTTTGGTGACATACTACTTCTCCATTGGCTTTACAAAGCTAGGCTTTCTTACCACAAGTAGATAATTATGGTCAGAAATTTGGGAATTCATAGGGAAAGGTGAGTTACATATTTATTCCTATGGCCTAATATGAGTCAGCATAATTCTAAGAACATTCCATTTTCTTTATTCATTTAACCACTTATTTTCTTGTGTATAATCTAAAGAACCCAAAATTTATAGCACTTTACTATTCACTGACTTATTTGTGCAGACACTTATGTGCATGTATATAAGTTTATGTTACAAAACACAAAGCTGTACAAAACATGATTTTGTTCTTACAATTTTATTAATAATTCATAAACGGTTAATGGACAGGCATCATCAACTTGACTGACCTATCTTAGCTATTCTGTGGGAAAAGTATTTCCTGTATTATCCAACTTACCCAACAATTGCTGATAGCTGGCTAAAAGTGTCATCTTGGACCCCAAGTTTACACAATAAATAAATCTAACTTATACAATCAGCCATTATATCTTTAAAAAATAAACAAAAACCAAAAAACTAAAACAATGTCACTTTTCTTCAACATTTAAAACACATGCCCAAGTTTCTAACTGAGAATAGAAGCAGAAGGCTGACAAGAAATACGAGATAAAAATATCCGTGAAACTGTCCATCATCAATGCTTTATTGATGGGCAGCTCCTTTCATACTGATGTATCAAAAATACAATTTTGAAGAGTAAAGGAACAACACCCTTGTTCATTTCTTAAACCTTAAGTGTCCACATTAATAAATCTTATAGTCCATGTGAAAAATCACAACATGTGAGTTATGCAATGTACCTATACTGAAGGAAAAATTAAGTAGCAAAGGAGCTAACCATTTGGGAAATGCTACTAATCCTCTCCTTTTCTGCTTTATTGATCTGGGCACAAGTACATATGCCTGGAAACAAAAGACAGAATCTTGCAGTATTTCCACAATGATAGAAGTAACTTTCCCACCGTGAACAGAAGTAGCCCAGGGATCCCAGGCTAATTTCAAAGAAACAGGCAGCTCCTATAGTAACATTCGTAGTCCTCTGGTCTGTCTCGCTTCATCATCATAAAGGTGGTGATATCCACTGCAATGCTGGCCCAGGCCCCTCCACAGAGGCTGGGAGTGAAGCTTCCTGCACAGAAGACAGTCGGCTGGCTTTGGTGTCTGCAGCATCAATTGTTCCAGCATTTACAATGGCATTTCAGTGAGGCACCTATTCCACTGCACATTCCGATCAAATGGCATCCAAGAGCATCAGTAGATCATCACCCTGACTGAAAAAGTTTAAGCACACATTTTTTTTTTCCCAAGAGGGAACGCCTTTAAAATGATCCAGGAAAATAAATAATTAACACTAAAGAAGTTTTTGGAAACGCTAAACAACCAGATTAAAGAGAACCCCAATTGTACTTTAGAATGTTGGTCATCTTATCTTTTCAAGACAAGGTTAAAGGATATTGGAAACAAAAGTAAAGGAAGGCTACCCTACTCATGAGTACAAAACTCATAGACTATTCCAGTCTTACAAAGGGAAAACTGGCACTATATATCCAGAATCATTTACTAAAATTAAAAGAATATATGTAGAAATTCCACATGTAACAAATTACACATAGAAATTAAGAAACATGAGAGCTTTACCCATAATTCCCAGATCCCTATTTAAATTATAGCTCTGTGTGGGAGGCAATAGGAATCAAATTAGAGCATCACAAGTCATTTAGTTATCTCAGATTTTCCTATTAAAGCTAAATAAACTAAAAAAGATAGGTAAAATGGATCCAACAGCCCACTGCTATGCTGTTTGCTCTAGAAGAAAAGCTGTTACCTGTATGGGAGCAAAATGTTTGGCCTGGTACAAACTCTGGACAATCAATCAGTTGAGAGAAGTCTGTTTGTGGCACATTCCATGGAGGAGGGCCTGGGATTGGCCATTTTTCTGGTTCTATCTTTTTTCTCATTTTCTCATCCACAATTTCTACTTCTGTGCTATCCTTCAGTGCCTAGCAATAGGAATTTTGAGGTATTAAAGAACTTATATTCAAAAAATCTTAATTGCACATCTTGTATTTCTAAAAACCTAAAAATAAAATCTGAAGTTAGCAGACTGTGTTGCAATTAATGGTTCTAAGATATTTTACGAATTACTATTAAGAACAGAACAAATTTTAAAAACATTTGTTCCTATAAAGTAGGAACTCTTACTTACCAGCAACTTAACTTGTACCATATAGTATTTTTTCACAATTAGAATAGGCACATAGGATTATTAAACCAAATAAAAGCACAAGACATTTAACCAACAATTGGGCTTTATTATCCATTTTTTCCTTCCGTATTTGCTTTTATTAGCCTTTAAAATAACATTGTAAATAAAATTTAGGCTTTCTGTTTTATTTATTGTAGTAACAGCCACCATTTATTGAATGGTGAGTACCCACATGCACACATGATTTCAAAGCACAGCAAGGTAGGTATTACTCCTGTTTTAGAGAGGAGGAAACTGAGGCTCAAGGAAGTAAAACTTAATAAAAAAGCTCACAGTATGAGACAACACAAAGAGAGGAAAGTCTTAGTCATTAGGCCACAGTGCCACCCAAAAAGCACGTGCTATAATTAGGGATAGTCTGAAACCAATCCAAAATTTCTTCAAAATAAAAATTAAAGACTTTATCAAAAATAAATTAAACCTTTAAGTGGGTCAGGGAGGAGGTTGGGGGGTGGCCCAGAGTGAGGGAGGGGGTGACCTAACCAATGTAAGGCCATTCAGAATTGTCACAACAAATTCCCTCCACCCAATACAATGAATATATGCTAATAAAAATGAAAAAAAGCCTTATTGGTTTAATTTCTAACTGAAATTCTAGGGTAATTATCTTTTACAAGTCAGGGTAAATGTAAAATATATAACGTAAACACTCACATACTTATGTGTACATTAACTTAGAAAAACTAAAACATAGTACATTTCAGGTAAACATTCTATATATGTGTTACTTTATGAACTTTTCATTTGTATGCCCTTAATATTAGTAAAGTATTTATTTCTCAACTTACATTTTTCATAGCTGGGCATTACCTTAAAATTAGGATTCAAACTTATTTCTCAGGCTGGTGGAGTGACTCACACAGTAGAGTGCATGCCTCAAAAGCAAGAGGCCCCGAGTTCAAGCCCCAGTACCGCACCCCCCCACACACACTACTCCTGGCCAAAAAAAGAAAATCAAACTTATTTCTCAAATTCTTGCCGGATGCTAGTGGCTCACACCCTAACTACTCAGGAGGCAAAGATCGAGAGGACTGTGGTTTGAAGCCAGCCCACGCAAATAGTTCAAGAGATGCTATCTTGAAAATGCCCAACATGACGAGGATGCGGGGAAAAAGGAACCCTCTTACACTGTTGGTGGGAATGTAGACTAGTACAACCACTCTGGAAAAAAATTTGGAGGCTACTTAAAAAGCTGGACATCGATCTACCATTTGATCCAGCAATACCACTCTTGGGGATATACTCAAAAGACTGTTACACCAGAGGCACCTGCACATCCATGTTTATTGCGGCACTATTCACAATAGCCAAGTTATGGAAACAGCCAAGATGCCCCAGCACTGACGAATGGATTAAGAAAATGTGGTATCTATACACAATGGAATTTTATGCAGCCATGAAGAAGAACGAAATGTTATCATTCGCTGGTAAATGGATGGAATTGGAGAACATCATTCAAAGTGAGGTTAGCCTGGCCCAAAAGACCAAAAATCATATGTTCTCCCTCATATGCGGACATTAGATCAAGGGCAAACACAACAATGGGATTGGACTATGAGCACATGATAAAAGCTAGAGCACACAAGGAAGGGGTGAGGATAGGTAAGACACCTAAAAAACTAGCTAGCATTTGTTGCCCTTAATGCAGAGAAACTAAAGCAGATACCTTAAAGCAACTGAAGCCAATAGGAAAAGGGGAACAGGTACTAGAGAAAAGGTTAGATGAAAAAGAATTAACCTAGAAGGTAACACCCACGCACAGGAAATCAATGTGAGTCAATGCCCTGTATAGCTATCCTTATCTCAACCAGCAAAAACCCTTGTTCCTCCCTATTATTGCTTATACTCTCTCAACAACAAAATTAGAAATAAGGGCAAAATAGTTTCTGCTGGGTATTGGGGGGGGAGAGGGAGGGGGCGGAGTGGGTGGTAAGGGAGGGGGTGGGGGCAGGGGGGAGAAATGAACCAAGCCTTGTATGCACATATGAATAATAAAAGAAAAATGAAAAAAAAAAAAAGAAAGAAAATGCCCAACACGAAAATAGGGCTGGTGGAGTGGCTCAAGAGGTAGAATTCCTAACTAGCAAGCATGAAGCCCTGAGTTCAAACCCCAGTACCACCTATATATATATATATAAAATTCCTTTGAGAAGGGGTCTGAAATATGCCATGGAAAATCCTATGGTGATGGATTTGAATTAGTGGCATCTATTTTTCCAGACACATACTTTTCCTCATTTTGTCTACTGAAGAATTCAGAAGCAATGACACTCCAGCAGCAAATCCATCATCCATATCATGTGGCACCCTGAATGAATTTTTTAAGTTTTACAAATGAAAAGAGCCCAGAGACAGAAGAAATCTATTTATACAAATGTCAAGGACAAAACTGATCTATGATAATAGAATCACAAAAATGGACAGAGGACTGGTGGAGTGGCTCAAGTAGTAGAGCACCTGCTTAGCAAGCTTGAGGCCCTGAGCTCAAATCCCAGTACCACCAAAAAAAAAGAAAGTAAAAGTGGAGCCGGGCACCAGTAGCTCACGCCTGTAATCCTAACTACTCTGGAAGCAGAGATCAGAAGGATCGGAGTTCAAATCCAGCCCAGGCAAACAGTCCATGAGACCCTATCTCAAAAAAAAAAAAACCATCACAAAAAAAAAATTCACTACATACTCTTTGATTTTCAATTATATCTACTTTTTTCCCTATTTAGAAAAAATCAATTTAAAAGGTTGGATATGTAGCTGAGTGGTTTGAGTGGTATAGCAGTTGCCAAGCATTCATTACATAGTACAGAGAGGAAAGGGAAAAGAGAAGGGAAAGGGAAAGGAAACAGAAAGAAAAGGAAATGATCAAATAACAAAGAAAAATGAAACATTTGTCATTTAGCCCTTAAAAGTGTATCACAGAAAAATCTACGCCATGGGTGAGTGTTGGTAGCATATGCCTATAACCCTAGGACTCAGACGGTTGAGGCAGGAAGCTTGCAAGTTTGAGGACAGCCTGGGCTACATAGCCCCTGTCTCAAAACAAACAGCAACAACAACAAAACACACAAACAACAACCAAACTACACCACGCACAAAAGTGAGATAAAGACCCAGGCAATTAGATGAGTTTCTTTTTGCTTTTTTTGGTGATACTGGGGAGGGGTGTGAACTCAAGGCCTCATGCTTGCTAGGCAGGCGCTCTACCACTTGAGCAACTCCAACTCCACCAGTCCTTTTTTTGGTTTCGTATTTATTGCGATAGGCTCTCTTGAACTATTTGCCCCGGCTGGCTTTGAACTGCAAAACTCCTAATCTCTGCCTCCTGAGTAGCTAGGATTACAGATGTGAGCCACCTGCACCCAGCTAAGTTTTTATTAAAATCAAATCTTGGTTACCTTGAGCTGCTACTGTGTGCAATCAGTATTCTGGTTCTATCTGACTAGCTGTTAGTTGGGGTCCTTTTATTAATAACACATGGCTATTACTGTGAATAGTAGTAATAAACTGTGGAATACACAGATCCATCCCTTAATGACTGCATGATTAATACATGCTAAAAACATATGAAGACTAATAATGGTAGAAAATGCCTATTTGGTGTGCCAGATATCATTAACAATCCTAGCAAGTACATGTTAGAGTTTCAGAATAGTCAAAGAACTACAGGAATGTATACAGAGTATGTCCATGCTTATAGATATGTACAGAGTACAAAGCCTAATTTTGAAAAAGCCTTTTAAAGAAATTAAAAAAAGCTCTTTCAAGAAAGCCTTACTTTCTTTAAAAAAAAAAAAAAAAAAGGACACCATTTTCCACTGTTACAAATGCTAGGTGCATAATGAATGTTAAGTGAATGCAGTCTTGTGCTGTTCTAAATTGTGTTTTTGCTTTTCAAATCTTATTAGTTCTTACTGTAGCATCAGCTAAAGCCAGGCATGGAGGCACACGCTTATATCCCAGCACTCAGGAGGCTGAGAATAGAAGATCAAGAGTTTGAGGCCAGCCTGGACTACTTAGTGAGACCCTGTTCAAAGGGAGGGACAGAGGGGATGAATGAAGGAGAAGGGAGGGGAGGGGAGGAGAGGAAGGAGAGAAGAAAGAAAGGAAGGAAGGAAGACAGGAAGAAAGGAAGAAAGGAAGGGGAGGGAGGAGGAAAGAAGAAAGAAAGACAGAAAGAGAGGGAAGGAGGGAGGGAGGGAAAGAAAAGGGGAAAAGAAAAGAGAGAAGAAACAGGGGGAAGAAAAAAGGAGGGAAAGAAAGGAGGGGAGGGACAGGAGAGAGGGAGAAAAGAGAGGAAGAAAGCTAACTTTCAGAGGGGACAAAGAAAATAAGTGAGTGAACAGGAGAATGAATATGATGAAATTATATTATATGCATGTGTAAAAATGTCATTAACAAAATCCATTATCTTGCACAATTAATACATGCAAAAAAACCCCACCCAAACAAACAAACAAAACCCTTTCTTTTAGTCCAGCGTGGTAGTATATACTGATAATCCCAGCTACTCAGTAGGCAGAGACAGGAGGATCCCGTTCAAGGCCAGTCTAGGCAAAAAAAGTTAGAAAAACCCTGTCTCAAAGACCAAGCTAGGTATGGCGGCAAATGCCTGTGATTCCAGCTGCTTGGTAGGAGATAGGAGGATGAAGGTCTGGGGCTGACCGTGAAACCCCAAATGAAAAACAAAGAGAAAGGGGCTAGGGTTATGGTTCAAGTGGTAAAGCACTTGCAAGGACTTGAGTTCAAACCCTAGTACCACCAAAAAACAGTATTCACTCCTTACATTTTTATCACTGTTGAGGCAGATAACCAATGTGCTTGGGGATTTGATGGAAATAGAAACAGACTAAAGAGCCAAATAGTTACAAGCTGATTCCTACAGAAGCGGAGACCAGAGAGCAGGTGACAACTCTACAGAAAATGATAGCCGAATTGACCTTTTCTACAGTGCAGACAACTGTAGCAGTTAAGAAACTCAACCTGATATTTATTATAATTATATTTTGCTCCACAAAAAACTTTGAAAGAAACAGTAAGCTTTCTTTAAATTAGAGTATACGGAACTTTTTACAGTGCTTGCCTAGCATGCATGAGACCCTTAGATGATCCCAGCACCAAAAAAAAGAAAAAACTACCTACAAATACACAAATGCAGGGCTTTTTCATAAAAAGAAACATTAACAACAAATCAGTATTTTGTTGTTTTGAAAACCTAAACTTTCCTATAGCTGCTTTTTAATTGGGTTTTTTAAAGTAAATCATAGCAAGTTTATTTATTTTATTTATTTATTATTTATTTTTGCAGCACTGAGGTTTAAACTCAGGGCTTCATATCTGCTAAGCAGGTACTCAACTACTTGAGCTACCACCCACCCCCTCAGCCCTCTATAGCTGGCTTTTAAAGCAGAGACCACACATATTTAAAAACCTTGCTATTCAAAGAAAGCCGTTAAGAAAATGAGTAAAGGATTGGAGATATAGCTCTGTTAGTAGAATGTTATCGAGCATGTGTGAGGCTTGGGTTTGATCCCAGCACTGCAGTGGGGAAAAAAAGACAAATGAAAAAAATAAGTCAAAGATTAGGAAAAGTATTTATAAAATACACACTAAAAACTCATAAACTAGTCTTAGCTACATCGTGAGACCCTATCTCAAAAATTAACCCCAAAGTCTGGGGATGTTGCTCAGTGGTAGAGCACTTGTCTAGTATGCCCAAGGCCCAGTGACCAATCCCCAGAACTGCAAAAACAAAAAAAAGTCGAACAAAACTATTGACTTGAACAGGTATTTCAACACCTAAGATATACAGATGACAAGCACATGAAAAGATGACAGCATTAGTCACTAGGAAATTTGGATTAACCAGAATGAGAAAGCACAACAGCAATCATTTAAAAATAACGTGGGAATGCAAAATGATAAAGCCACTTTGGACAACAGACTGGTAGTTTCTCATGAGGGCAATTTCAATTCTAGACATTTACCCAACAGAAACAAAAATATGTACCCAACAAACTTTAGGCCTAACTCATGATTTCCAAAAATTAATACAATCGAAATATTCATCAACAAGTGGATAAACTGAGACACACCTATACTATGGAATGCTAGTCAGCAACATTAAAGAACAAACTACTGATACATGCAATAACACAGATAAACTTCAAACCACCATGCTTATAGTGAAGGAAGTCAGAACAGCCAGGCATGGTGCCCCACACTCATAATCCCAGCTTTGGGGAGGACAAGGCTGGAGGATGACGGAGTTGGGAGCTCATCTGGGCTACGTATTTAGCGAGACTCTGTCTCGAAAAATCAAGGAAAAAAAAGAATCATAAATGAAGGCTATAAACTCTCAGATTTAGCCACTTTCACGATATTCTGGAAAAAGCAAAATATATCTACAAAAAGGAATCAGCAGTTGCTAGGGGCCATGTGTAGGGAAAAGGATGGGCAACATGCGATAAACTTGATTGCTATATACACAGGAAACAGGAGAACCCAAGAACATGGAAAGCACTTCTACAAATAAAGACAGATTTAATAAAAGCAGTAAGGCAACCACTGCACAGACTGTTTTAAATTAGTATTTCCACAGCACACAAAATGTCCAATATTTTAGTAAGTGGGAATACATGCTATCTAACAGCAACATGAAGAAGATTCAAGAACCAGAGTACTCAAGAAAGACTGAATAAAGTCCTTCTTTACTTGTTGAGGGTTCCCAAGGCCAGACATTTATTTTGGAAATAGTCATGAGATACTCTCTAAGCTTTTAGGCAACCACAAATTGTCGGCTTTTTTTTAATACTACTTTTATATTTATTGAGCTGGCACTATGTTGCCAGGCTGATGTTGGAACGCATGGGATCCGGGGATCTTCCCACCTCAGTCTCCTGGTTAGCTGAGACTATAGATGTGAACCACCACACTCAGCATATATATATTTTTGTGGGAGGTGGGGGTTGAGATGGGGGTCATTCTATATAGCCAAGGCTGGTGCTGAACTCATAATCCTTCTGCTTCTCTCAAGTAGCTACAGGTCTGTACCACCAAGCCTAACACTTTTTTTTTGTAATATTTTTTTGGAGCAGTTTTAGGTTCACAGGAAAGTACAAAATACATATTGTTTTTTTAAATGAGTATTTACCTCTAAGATGAGATTCAGGTTTGTGGTGAGAGCCTGAACACGGTGAAAGCCAGCAATGAGGGAAATAGGCAAGAAGCCTTGTGCATCCATCTTTCTCCGAAGAAAGAAGTCTCGTTCCAGGTTTTCAATGCTGAAATAATACTCACTGAGAAAAGAGGAGAGAAAGGAAGCATAAATTTCACCCACTCACTCAACAGCATGTAAAAATATCCACTGTTTAAATACCAACTGCTATTCTAGTTAATAATAATATCACAATATGACATAATATAGATGGCCTAATATGACACAGGATAAATATTATAGATAACAGCAAGAACCTACTAAATTAGTAATTTCTCATAAACCTGAGTACAAACTTAAAATACTGATTATTTTATAAAAAAGTAAACTTCTCTTTAGATTGGCTTTACCTCAGCACAAAGAATTAAGAATTCACTTTAAAATGTTCAACATTTGATTTTTTGGGGGGGAGGGGGTTGGTTTGGTTTTTTTTAACAAAAGGTCTTTTAAGTAGCTGAGGCTGGCCTGGAACTCATGATTCTCCTTCCTCAGCCTCCTGAGTCCTGGGATTATAGATGTACATCACCATACCCAGCTCAATACTTAATTTTTTGGGGGGGGGTGGTACTGGGGCTTGAACTCAGAGCCTTCACCTTAAGCCACTCCACCAGCCCTTCTCTTGATTTTTTTTTTTTTTTCCGAGATAGGGTCTCACAAACTATTTTGCCTGGGCTGGCTTCGAAGCTTGACCCTCCTATCTCTGCCTCCTAGCTTGTACCTAGTATTACAGGCATGAGTCCATGACTTTTTTTTTTTAATGAGTCAATGCAGCAAAAAGTTTCACTACAAAATCACCTCTACTTGCTTAGGTTAAACACTAGATAGCATAGCAAAACACATGTCAACAGTCAGTGAGAAGAATGGCGTCCTTGAAGGTATCTTTTGTTGAATTCATATTCAAATGTACAGTGAGTTTGTTTTGTTTTCCAAACTAATGAAGTAATGACATTGCACCATACTTCTGAGCCCTAGTAACCAGCACAAAGCTCGCTTGGTAAAAACTCATGAACGCACAAACATAGGTGTACACCACAATTATTATGTATGTGAATGATTCAAGTTGTCTTCCTTTTCTTTGGTACTGGATTTTGAACCCAGGGCCTTCTGCATGTCAAGCAGGTGCTCTGCCACTGAGTTATATACCCTGACCCTCCTCCTCCTTACTTTGATGTACATAACTACAAGACATTAAGAATGAGCATGCCTGGGATGATTCCCCAGCACCACAACAAAAGAAAGGAAAGAAAAGAAGTTAGAAAGGGAGGGAGGGAGAGAGGAACAGAGGAAGGAAGGAAGGAAGGAAGGAAAGAAGGAAGGAAGGAAGGAAGAGAAAGAAGAGAAAGAAGAGAATAAAATATAGCAAGAAATATCAATAACACCACAAAGTACATGGAGGGAAAAATACAGCAAAGGCTTAAATACTTCATCTTTTTAGAAAAGTGTAAACCTACTTAACCCTTAACCTTTCCCCAGAGAGAAATTAAAATTGACAAATGTCAGCATGATCAATAACTACACGTTTCATGATACACAGATAATAGTAAAAAAAAAAGAAAAAAGAAAAAAACTCCAAAGAGCCCAGATACACTTACTAATAGGAATACATGTTTTAATTATGGCCCCTGCATACTGAAACAAAAAATAAGACTCTAAAGAGACAGAGCAAGACAATAAATAGGGAAAATATAAAAAACTAAAACAGAGGAACTCCGTGACATCAGTGATGATAAAGTTCAGTAATCCTGCATTGCTTCCAAATCACAAAGCTTTCACCAAGGGGTAGCAAGGTATGAGAAAGCATACCCAACTCACAGGAGAGTTTTGGGTGTAAAACTCAGTGACTAGATACCTTTGAACTATTTAGACCAAATTCTAACTTTAAGAACTCGGCACCTATACCTAAAAAACTGGTTTGAGCTGTATTTCACTGGAGGGAGGAAAAACTACTTATTTTTAAAACATAAATATCCAGATTTTTCTTTGCAGTGTGATATTTATCTATCAAAGTGCAAAGCTCTCAGAGACTATTGAGCTACTGCATCTTGGTAACACTAGTAAATCATTCACTCTTCTAAAACACTGAAGAAAAAAATCTAAGCCATGAAAACAGGAACATGCAAAAGCCCTCATAGGCATATTAATACATGTGGTGAAATTCTAAAATTTCAGACATTAACACAATATTTGGGCTGGAGGTGTGGTTCAAGTGGTAGAACAACTGCCTAGCAAGCACAAAGCTCTGAGTTCAAATCCCAGTACAGCCAAAATAAAAACAAAAAACAGACATTTGATTTGGTCACAAGTTACAACTGTTCTTAGATCCAAACTTCCATAAATCCATCAGCTTCCCTTTAAATTTAACATTTTATAAAAAACAAAATATTTAAAGAAATTCATAAATTATTACTTACAGTACATATTTTAAAATTTTTAGCAGGCTGCAAACACACTAATCTCTGTATCTGAGTGCCAAGAGAGACTGTCCCAACAAGAAATAATCAAGATCTTAAAAGTTAGCCAGGTGTGATGGTTCATGTCTAAAATCCTAGCACTTAGGAGGCTGAGGCAGGAGATTCAAGTTTGAGGCCAGTCTGGACTACAAGTGAGACCCTATCCGAAAACCTCTCTCCATTCTGAATAGTTAAGCCTTTTATTTTAAAATACATTTAGTACCATTTCCCCACAAGTAAAGGAAATTTTTTTTTTAAAAATGGCTTCTCAAAAAAAAAAAAAAATCTAAACCATAATCAATCAGCCTATCTACATACTGCACTAGAAACAGCAATGGCATAAAGTCAAAAGCATGACTCCTCAAAGCTAGATCTCCACTAATCAAAGAACAGGAACAAATAACAAGCCACCTTGACCTGATGCTCTACTAATATTTGCCAAAAACCCTACTGCTGAAAACAATAATCACAAAAAAAGGAGTCATGACCAATGTCATATCTGACATTGCTCAGTGTCCTTGGGGACATATCATGTCCTACCTTAGCAGCTCTGGATTCTACACTGCATGATCAGAAATTTTGTCAACACTGAAGTGGCTCTGCTCCTCCCTCACTTGTATGAGCACATGCAGGCTGATTATCCTGACATGGAGTTGAATGTCCCCTGACAGATCTCAATGGGGACCTGGCAGTTACAAAAAAGTCAAAATAATGGTATGAAGTTGATAGCGACATGCCAGGCACTTCTGTAATAAAAAGGCCCTTTTCTTCAGTGTTTGTATCAACTGTAACAAAAGAAGCAAGAACAAAATAAACAGTTTGCTCTGCATTGTAAGCCAATCAAATCCACCAAGAAGGCATCCCAGAAGGTGCCCAGCTGTTGCTGAAGAAGAAACTATTTTCTAGTAACAAAGTAGGATCTATTTCCTTCTTTAAATAAAAATAGGTGTTTTTAAAATGCTTGTGCCCTTTCAAAAATATCCCTTTTTCTTTCACCTTAAGGACAGAAAAAAAAAAATCAAATTTTAAAAAGTTGGTTCTGCAAATAACTTGGGAAGGTTTTTTTCTAAATGAACACACGAGATAAACTGCAAAATACTGTACACAATACTAACATGCTGAGGGTTTATTTTTTTTCTTAAAGACAACAGAACAAACTAATAATCTTGTGACTTCAAGTTTAATACCCAAAAAGCAACTACCTCTATAAAAACTACTGTAAGAAACCTGAACTAATTAGTCTCTTTTAACATGTCACAAAGAAAGAACTTAAAAGATTAAAAAAACAAAAACCCTAAGAATTCAAGTCAATTGCTAAGAAAATCAAAAAATGTTTGCCACTATTTTTGTGATTTATGCTCATTTGCAAATTTTAATATAAACGTCTATTTAGAAATAACGAGCCAAATTTCACATATTCCATTCAAATAATATGTAGAAGCTTTACATTATTATTTATTCACAGCATACAATGATACTTTAATATCTTTTAGGCAGAGAGGTATCGAAACAATAGAGAAAGCAGATGACATGAACATGAGCCAAAAAGAAATTTAAAATTTACTAATTCTTCCTAAAAAAATGTAATCCAAGCAATATTATCATGTCCAATTTTTACTAATAGTTTAGGAAAAGCATAGTTAAAGCATCTATCAACAACATTAAAGTTCAATATTGAGACAGATTTTACTATCCCATCTGCTCACGTCTGACACCAACTTACATTTGACGCTTAATATACTCTTTAAGCAGTGCTTCTTCCACAGGGTACACCTGCACGCCTGTGCCATCATCATAGTAATACATCATACTGGTATTAAGTTCTGTCTGAAATGGTTGGTCAGTCCTTTCACCATGTTCTTGATAACCATATGAATAATCAAAGTTCACTTGATGTGAATAAAGAAAAAGAAAAAGGTGATCACAGATTTTTTTTTTTTTTTTAAAAAGAAGTCACTCTAAAGAAAAAAGTACTTCAAGGGGTAACAAATATAAAATCATATTTAATTAGTTAAATAGATGGTAATGTGAAAAACTAAGAATACTTGGTCACTCTTTTCAAAGTTCATCTAACTTAACAGAATGAAAAGTCATGTCATACACCGAGGATTTCCCCTGCCTCGTCCTCGTCCCCGTCCTCGGCCTCTTCCTCGGCCTCTAAAGGAGCCTCGGATATTACCACCTTCACTTCTCACACTGGACACTTCATCTTGATCATCTCTCTTTTCTCTCTCTCGTCTCCAACCTGTTAGAAATAAAAACAATTTTTTTAACTTTATTTGCAATAAAGTAAAATGATAATAAGCAACCACCCTCCCTACTTTATAACTAGTTCATAGTACCCAGGCAGTCTTTGTATAGATATATACTTAAGAGATCCAATAGGAATTTGTCAAAAATATTCCTGGCATTAAAGAGGGCCCATGAGGGCTGGCAGAGTGGCTCAAGTGGTGGAGCACCTGCCTATCAACTGTGAGGCCCTGAGTTCAAACTCCAATACAGCCAAAAAAAAAAAAGAGAGAGCCCTTGAAGGCACTGGCATATAAAGACATTCTAGTAAGCAAAATAACATACTAGAAGGGTAAAGAGATCCTTTGCTAAGATTATAGTGTAACATACTCATGAAGTTCCAAGCCTACTGAGTATGCACTATATCACACTCCCAAAAACTACTTTTCATGAAAGATTTAAGGAATCCATGCTTCTAAGTAAAAGACTGAAAACACAAATTCAGAAAAGACACATGAAGCACAAAATAAGAGCTGTATCTGGAATACATATAGTAACTGATATCACTCTCTCTTTTATGTACAACCAAGCATAGGCATACACTGAAAGGGAAAAAGGCTAAAATAAGTAGGGAAACAAAGAAATTCAGATGGCCAATGAATATTAAAAAAAAAATGGTACTAGGCCTCACAGGCCATGAGAAATTAAAATTAAGACAAGGACAAGAGTTTTTTATCTACTCCAGGCTAACAGACATTTTAATATCCTGAAATATTAACTATATATACATTTTTTGGTGGTTATAGGGATAAACCCAGGGCCTTCTATATGCTAGGCCAATGCTCTTCCACTGAACTACTCTCAGCCCTCTAATGTTGACAAAAGATAAAAAAGGCAGAACATTTGTATATTGCAGAATGAAACTCAGTATTGCAGGTCCATCAGGCTTTGTAGGCAAGCTTCTACAATTGAGTCACACTCCAGCTCCAGAAATATGTTTCATTTTTCTCTTTTTGATGATTAAACTCAGGGGCTTGCACTTCCAAGGCAGGAGCTCTACCACCTGAGTCACTCTGCCAGCCCACAATAATTTCTTAACCTCACACTTTGACTCTGGGGCAAGGGGAGACTGTCCTGCGCACTGTGGAGTGTTTAGCATCATCCATGACCTCTACCCACTACATGCCAGAATACCCGCTCATTCCCCAGTTGTGACAAGCAACTTCGAATGTTTCCAGCGGGGGTTAGGGTGGGGCGGGGGTGTCATCCCCACTGAGAACCACTGCTAAGCCAGGCACTGTGGCTCTCACCTATAAATCCTAGAAAAACCCACTACAAAAAAAGGGCTGGTGGAGTGGCTCAAGGTGTAGGCCCTGAGATCAAGCCCCAATACCACACAAAAAAAAGGCTTTCTGGCTGGGGGTGTGGCTCAATCAACAACAAACTGACTAAGAAAGAAATAAGGGAAACAATTTCACTTACAATAGCCTCAAAAACAATAAAGTACCTTGAAATAAATTTAATGAAGGAAACTAAAGACCTTTTTAATGAAAACTATAAGCCACTGAAGACAGAATTCGAAGTAGACATCAGAAAATAGAAAGCTCTCCCATGCTCGTGGATTGGTAGAATCAACATTGTGAAAATGACCATACCATCAAAAGCAACCTACATGCTCAATGAACTCCCTATCAAAAGGCCAATATCATTCTGCACAGAATTAGAAAAATCAATCCTGAAATACATATGGAAACACAAAAGACCTCGAATTGCTAAAGCAATTCTGAGCAATAAGTCGAATATTGGAGGCATCACAATACCCGACTTCAAACTATATTACAGAGCCATAACAATAAAAACAGCATGGTACTGATACAAAAACAGGCAGGAAGACCAATGGATCAGAAGACCTAGACATAAACTGAGCATCTACAGAAATTGATCTTTGACAAAGGACCTCAAAACACACGATGGAGAAAAGACAGTCTCTTTAGCAAATGTTGCTGAGAAAACTGGATATCCACATGTAGAAGACTAAAACTAGATCCCTGTCTGTTACCCTGTACCAATATCAATTCAAAGTGAATCAAAAACCTTAATATAAGGCCTGAAACTCTGAAACAACTATAGGAAGTAGTAGGAAATACAATGGAACATAGGTATGGGTAACGACTTTCTAAGTAGAACTCAAAAGGCTCAGCATCTAAGAGAAAGAATGAATAAATGGGACTGCATTGAACTAAAGAGCTTCTGCACAGCAAAGGAAACAGTCACCAGACTCAAGAGACAGCCCACAGAATGGGAGAAAATCTTTGCTAGCTACTCATCCAATAGGGAACTAATATCTAGGACCTACAGGGATCTCAAATAACTCAACCCCCAAAGAATCAACACCCCAGTGAAGAAATGAATTAAACAGGGAATTCTCAAAGGAAGCAGCACAAATGCAGTAAATACATGAAGAAGTGCTCAACTTCCCTGGTTATAACAGAGATGCAAATCAAATCAACACTTAGATTTCACCTCACCCTAGTTAGAATGGTCAAATTCAAGGGCAATAACAACAAATAATGCTGGCGAGAATGCAGCAAAATAGGAACCCTTATACAATGTTGGTGGGAATGCAACTTAGTACAACCACTATGGAAAGCAATATGGAGATTCCTCAAAAACCTAAAGACAGTACTGCCATATGATTCAGTAATACTGCTCCTGGGCATCCATCCAAAGGAATGTGACAGGATACAATAAAGATACCTGTACATCCTTGTTTATCACAGCACTATTTATAATAACCGAGCTTTGGAAGCAACCCAGGTGCCCTACAACTGCTGAATGGATCAAGAAAATGTGATATATATACATAATGGAGTTTTACTCAGCCATAAAGAATAGTGACATGAGGTATGAAGGTAAATAGATACAACTGGAAGATATCCTGTTAACTGAAGTAAGCCGGACTCAGAGACAAAGGTCACATGTTTTCTCTCATATGTGGAAATAGATCCAAAAGTTAAACATATACACAAAAATAACTGTGATCACACACAAACTCATATGTAGAACATGTCTGTAATAGTGGAACTATTGTATGGAACACAGGGAAAGAAGGAAAGGAAAAGAGAATGACAGAGTACCAGTAATATCGTAAACCATAACATCTATGAAGGTAGAGAATATAAGGATATGTACTGAAAGCTGCTGAAAAATTGGGGGGCGGGGGAGGTAAATGGGTAAGGAAGAGTAATAGAAGGGATTGAATGGACCAAAGTAAAGTAGACCCACAGTGGGGATACACTGAGAAACCCCTTTGAACATCAACTTAAATATTAATAATGAAAGATAGGACTGTAAAATAGGTAGAGTGTGTATGGGGAGGGGAGTATTAGTAGGAGGGGGAGGGTGAATGAAGGAGAATAAGGTAATGGTATATGGCTGATAGACTCCATATACCTATAGGAAACAGAACTGAGAAACTTCTTGCAATTGCTTTAAGTGACGAAGGGACAGGGATGGGGAGACAATGGTGGTAATGCAATTAATGTTTAATGAAAGCCTAAAGTGGAATTGTCACTATGAATTCCCACCTGTATAATGAACATATTGCAATATAAAAACTAAAAATCAATAATAAGTAAAAAAAATATGGAAGACTTTTCGCTGGGGTCGCGCTCAAGTGGACAGAGTACCTACCTAACAAGCATTGAGGCTTCATTTCAAGAAGTCCAGTATTGCTAAAACAGTTTTCGATTCCAAATATTCCTGCCTCATACTTAGCTAATCCATACATTATATCACATTCCAATAAAATTAGAAAATCTTTCAGTGTAACTTAAACGATGACGTGTCAGTGAACAGAAATTTACTGGGGTTTGAACTCAAGGCTATCACTTGAGTCACACTTCCAGCCCTTTTTGTTTGTTAGGTGTATTTTCAGATAGGGTCTCATGCTTTTTCTTTCAGGCTGGCCTTGGAACTTCAACCCTATCTATGCCTCCTATGTAGCTGGGATTACAAGCATGAGTGCTATAATTAAAAAAAAAAAAAAAAAAAAAAAAAAACCTGATCCTGACCCAATACACTAGTTTTATAACCCTCTAACAGGTTGCAGTCTGCAGTTGAAAAGGCCATGGTATTAGAAAAACATGCTTTGTAAAATGTTCATAGGTAGTACTTTAATACCAAAAAGTACAGCCAGGCACTGATGGCTCACGCCTATGATCCTAGCTACTCAGGAGGCAGAGATCAGGAGGACCATGGTTCAAAGCCAGCCTGGGCAAATAGTTTGTGAGACCCTATCTTAAAAAAACCCATCACAAAAAATAGGGCTGGTGGAGTGGCTCAAGGTGAAGGC